TTAGTTTTCCATAAGCTAATTAGCATGAATCAGATTTCTTTTATTTAATTGCATTAATCAACTATGGTCTTCTAAATGGTTTTCTTCATGGGACTCTTGACAACTTTTGTTAACGCATGACTTATTTTCCTTTTCTTGTTAGTTTTTGTTCTTATTTATCTTTTTTATGACACATCTGCATAACTACCCTTTTATTGGATGAACTCTTTTCACTGACTCTCTGCAGAAGACATGATAACGGCTACAATAATAATATTTAATAAGTAATTTCAAAGCTTATATTTTTCCTCATCCCTCCTGAATAAGAAGGTATTTCTAGATATATCGAAAAAGGACTTTTAAAAACTAGAAGAGCAAAAAGAAAGAAAAAAAAATGCATGTCTCAGTATCTCCTTATTTGCCGTTTTCTTTGCACGTGTCACCAGCAAACCCCCGTTTTCTGTGCATGGTCCCCCTGCCCCACCACCCATTTTCTTTTGCAGATTTCACCTGCCTTACCCCGTTTTCTTTGCACGTTTCTACTGCCCCTTAACCCAAGCTCTGTCTTTCTCTCTCTCTCCCTTGCATGTTCTTCCCAGTATGTGAATCGCACCTGTTGCAACGTTGTGAAGCCCAACGAAGCTCCACTCACTGAAGAAATGCTCAACGATTGCAATGTGGGTTCCGAGCTCTTATGTAGTGCTGTTGATATTGCTCCTGGTTGTGATTAGTTTAGTTGTTTTTATCTCTCTGTATATATATCTATATATCTCATTTTGTATATAGTTTATTTGTAGTGTTTGTATTTTCTGTATATCTGCATATATATATATATATCTTTTCTTGATCGTTTCATTTTTGTTGGTTTATCTTATTTCTCTGAAGGGGATATTTTTCTATTTATTTCTAGATGCTATGATACCTTATATTTTCCATTTATATTTGATCTTTGTATAGAATTAGATTTTTTTACTTCTAAGATTACAAATCGTTATGATTATTATTGTGTGTTTTGCATATCATTTTGATATTTCCAGCTCTTGCAGACATACATGTCTATATATGCAGAGACCTATACACTCAAAAATCTTTCACACAACTTGCCGTACTGCACATACAAATACCCTCCCATGAAAATGAAAAGAAATATAACAAGAAACTATCCAAGTCATATAAAACATATTTAGTCAGTAACACACACATTGCATGACATATATATAACCACTATCCACTTCTTGCCATCTAATAAAACCCCTTCTTTTCTAGCTGGTGAACCGTGCAAGGGTCAAGAAGCGACATGATGTTCCTCTCACAGCCGAGATGCTGAATGAACTGAACAAGGCTCACATGGCAGGCATTGACGGGCCATATGACATGGGTGGCCTCTACGATATGGAAGGCATCTGGAATGAGAAGTTTGACAGGAAGGTGGCCAAGGTGAGGGAGGAGGTGGTTGAGGGTTGTATCTGGGTTTTTATTCGTATTTACTGCTGATAGTGTGATTATTAATATTAATGTGACTACTGAAATTACTGTCATTTTAACTTTTTGCATTAGAAGCTTTCAATACTTCTTTGTAATCATACACTAATTAAGAAAAATTTCTTTTCATTGATTATTCAGAATTAGTTAAGTATGGAATCAAGAACAACTACTTTTAATTGCTAATTGATCGTCTTTCCCCTTCCAGCCGCCTTCAAGCAGAGGAAAGGGCTACAACCCCAACTACAACATCAACATCTATGACTCATGGCGCACTGACTGGTCCGGTCCTTATGGCTCCTCTGCTACCTATGCCAAGAGACGCCCTGACACCAATTTCTGACATGAGGACTCTCAAGAGGAGGACATAGAGGACTTCTAGACAGGAGGCATCATCCTAGGGTTCCTGGGGGCAAGGACAGCTCTTCCCCTCTGAGTGTGTGTGTGCACATTTGGAGGATCTTGGTTTTTGACCTTCAGAATCAGCTCAGTGTTGCCTCAAGAGGAGAGGAACCCGAGTGTCATCTGCGGCCTCCAAAACCAAAGATTTTTTGAGGGGATTGGCATTTTTCCTTTGCCTTGCCAGGACCAGGAGGACGAGGAGTTGGTGCTTGTGTGGATTTTTCTTGCATGTTGCACCAGCCCTCTTGCCTTTTGGTGAAGCTTGCACACGCTGTCTGCAGACCTCCACATTCAGGAACCACTTTTATATGACTGTTAAGTTTTAAGAAAGTCTATCATTTTGATGACTTGTGGAGAGTGTGCGGGCTTCACCATGTCTAGTTGGCCTTATTGGATCGTGCTTAACACATTGGCTGTTCATTTACCTATCTCTGCTTTGTCCACATTCAATGGCACTCTGTAGCCTACCTCTGTTGTGCTGTTATACTCAACTATGGTGCACAAGATAACATCACTGACATGTGATGTCTTACCTGACTATGAATCTGTCAAAACTATTGCATAGAACCTATCTTCAGCCTGACTAATTCCTCACATATTTGAACACTCCTGAACTGTAGCCGAAGTGAACACGGTCCTGTCTCCTTTTGGGAACATGTTTTGATATATAAACGCTTTCAAAAGTGTAAATTTCTCTATGCTTTTTATTTTATGTAATAAGCAGAGAGCTGTATACATATGAAGACATATATGAAATTATAATTTGTACATCTAGAATAGATTTTATAATGATATCAGCACTGAAGTTAATAGAATAGATGAATCTTGAATCAAGTTGTAATTTAAACATACTGCACAAGATTTTATTTTTTAGAAAACTTCTAATAAATTTCATATAGATGACAGTTTTAATGTCTTGTAAAGATAATATTTCAAAGCATTTTGTGCTGAGGAGCACCATTTTCCAAGGAAAAATTTTTATATATGAAACATTCTAGTGTGCTACACTAGTACATCAGCATTCTATAGCAAAGTTGCCTATAGTCAGCTTTTTTATATATAAAAGATAGAAGTACTATTGCCTGCAGGAATTCAGTTTGTCACTGAAATAGGAGTCCTGTATATGTGGCACCCCTTGATTCCCACCTCTAGGCTTATTTTGGACCTGTTCCTGTTTTTTACCTCCTCTCCATCTCCCCACAACTCGGTGAACAATATCAAACAAATCATTAAGCGTTTTCATTTCAAAAGAAGACAAAAAAAAAAAAAAAAAAAAAGGAATAATGTGATTCTGATGATATATAGAAATGGGTGCATAAAGTAATTACTGAAATTTTTAATCCATTCACATACCAGAAGGAGGGGGAAATTTGCAGGAATGAATGGAGAGGGAAAAATACTTGGGGTGGGAATACAACAACGCCACATTCACAGGGCTACTATCTATGCAGGCAGGTATAATACATAGGTTTAGGCTACATCAGGTTCATGTGAAAATAAGCCTGTTGTGCCAGAACAGCTCCAATTTCGCACAAAAATTATATTACCGTGTGTCCTTTACCAGCGATCATGAAGTCTGAGTTGCCCATTTGAAACAAACTTTGGTGAACTGTGATAACATTTTAAAGTAAGGCAGTTTGTAACACTTGGCAATATTTGCTTATGTTTCGGATAAAAACCCAGTTTTTGAGTAAGATAGAGAGTATTAGATATTCCAAGAATAATGCAAGTCTCCATTTTTCTCCCCTTTTTTTTTGTCATTTGGGTGATATTTTAGGAAATTCTGAATGTAATCTACCTTATACAAGAGTGAGCTAGATCATGGTGCCACTAAGGGTCAAGTTTTTAAAAATATGGGTCTCAAGCTCAACGTTATTGGACCTATAGTAAAAAAGATTGTTACATTGAAACACTTTCAGTATTGGGGTTCGAGAATCATATCTCGAGGAACTTTAGTTACGCTGACATATTTGACTGGACGTAGGAAATATAGAAAACTATTTCAGAATTTAGCTGTTTGGTCAGCAGATATAGTTTTAGACTTTATTACTCCTTAGCTTGTAAGTAACACATTATGTATAGATAACCAATAATATTTATGAATGTAAATTCTTATTTTTTAGTGGCATTCACTTTTCATGTGATGAATGTAAGTGCATCAATGGATGATATCTGGAAAAAACAATATTTAAGAAGTTTTTTTTTTTTCTGATCTGATATAACATTCTTTTTTTTTAAGCAAAATATACTTTGTGGTTCTCTCTGTATTTTAGGGTTAGTTGCTGTCTTGTCACTTATTACTCGAAACAATATAAACGGATTATGTGAAAATACTCTTAACTGTGTTTTATGTATATAACTGTACAATTTAAAATGTTGAAGCATTATAATCTTGATTTCCTTATGATGTAAGTATGAGATGTAGCTTTTTTTCAACTATATTCTTCTTATCTTATTAGCAAAGGTGCGCGATGCACAGTTGTCAACTTCCGTATCAAATAACAGTAATGTAAGCAAGGAAAAAATATTTTCTTAAGTACACCATACAGTTGTAGTGAAATCAAAGTAGAGAATTCCTTTAATAATGAACAAGAGCCTCTATTAATGTAAGTAAGATGGACAGATGAGTGTCTGAATGAATGAATGTTTATAAATGCATCCAGCAAAGGGTTGCGTGTTGCCTCTGACAGCCGTGTGAGCAGATGATTTCAGAATGTCACATCTAGTCTGGATGGATGTTTGAATGTATCCTGTCAGTCATCTGGAAATTGTATGGATGTGATGAAATAATTCCTTCCATTTGAGACACAGTGAATAAAACATGTAAGTCTAATCGAAGAAATCAAATATACAATACTTACCATATAAATCATAACCAGTTTTAATGTCTAGAATGGTTTCCTACTAGCGTAAATACTCATAGATATCACTTAGTCTTGTATTCCATGAATCCTATGATATATATTTTCATGGCATGATTCCTGTACTATGGCATACGTGTGGCCCTGGATGGCCATGTTAGAGTTGCATCTTTTGCATTTCTGCACAACTGACTAAGTCTGTACATTTGTAATATAGCTGGTTTATACACTGTATCACCCGTAAAATAATGGGTGATACATAAGGGGCCAAGGTTTCATAATAAAATACACTTAGTACATACTGATTTGTTTTTTCTTCTCCTTTTGGAATTTTGTCATTGTTATAGTAAATGCTTTGTAATGGACATTAGAAATAAGTGTCACTTACTGAAGCTATGTCTGTTTTTGGTTACTTTTCTTGATAATTATATATATATACATATATATATATATATATATATATCCCAATGACGCCGGGTGTACAAAAGAAAAAAAAACTCTACGCTCTAGCAAACAAAGGCGGCGTGCCGAATTTGAGCGCGCGAGTATGGGACGTCAACCCGAATCACTGGCTCGCCACGCTTTGGCGCGCCGCCGGCTCGTTTGGCTGCACGCCAGCTTTCGAGCGGTTTGTTTACACGCCTGTCGGCGTCACCCGGCACCAAGGGGATATATATATATGTGTGTGTGTGTGTGTACATATATATATATATTTATATATATATATACAGTAAGCCCCCTTGCGAACATTCCATACATACGAACAATTTTGTAAAAATATTTAAGTCCAAAAAATTGTTTCAAAGATGCTAGCAAACTTCAAATTTCCCGGGCACTAATATAGTTCTCGAGTCTGCCACGCCGTGGGGCTGCCCTGCTCACTTGCCTCAGTCGCTTGCCCTCCTGCTATAAACACTAAAATATCTGTTCAGTGTCCTTGTGTACTGCCAATTTTTGTGCCATAATTCACTTTACCTCTGCATCAATCCATCAAAAATACTTATTGGGATTTATGTACAAGTATTCATAATGTAAACAAAACTTTAAAACAATGGAAAAAAAGGCAATGGAGACCCGACTTTGGATATACAACAAATGGAGTTAGAGCAGCCTCTCGGTCCCCATTATGTTCGTAAGTTGGGGACATTCTGTATTCATTCATGTTTATATATATATATATATATATATATATATATATATATATATATATATATATATATATAAATTATATACATATATATATATATATATATATATATATATATATATATATATATATATAAATTATATACATATATATATTATATATATATATATATATATATATATATATATATATATATATATATATATATATATATTATATATATATATAAATTACATATATATATATATATATATATATATATATATATATATATATATATATGTGTATATGTATAAATATAAACATATATATACACAAATACATACACACACACACACACACACATACACACACACACACACACACACACATATATATATATATATATATATATATATATATATGTGTGTGTGTGTGTGTGTGTGTGTGTGTGTGTGTGTGTGTATACATATATATAAATACACACACACACCAAGCTGTTACCCATGCAGCATGCTCCCTCTCCCCAAGCTGCTGATGGATCCAAAGGAACGGCAAAGACCATTACGGTTTGGCACCAAGAGTTATCTGAACAAAGTCGCAAGCGACAGCGAACTGCCTTCTGTACTCCGATTCCGGATTTTTCCTCAGGGTTGGCTACCAAAGCCCTTTCATCACATAGATGTCACAAGGAAGTGGACTGTTTTGTATAGGGTGGATTCCCATATCCTTTGACCATACACAGACTGAACTACATGTCAGCAGTTGTTTTGTAAAGGGTGAACTCCCATAGCCTTTGCCCATACACGGATTGACCTACAAGGCAGCGGTCGGGCATCACTATCGTATCTTGGTAAAACAAACCCAAAGCCTCCAGGCTAATACATTGGTAACGCGCTGGCCTCTCACCCGAGGGGTCAATGGTTCGCGCCCCGCCCAGGCGCGAGAAGTTGCTGCAGCACCACGGTGGATAAGGACTAAGCTCATCCGAATCAGTACCAGCTGACACATGTTAGCGAGTCGGCATTAGTCAACACAGGCTGGGCTCCCCTCATGGGCATAGCCTGGGTGAGGCTCAGCTTTGCACATTGGACTTATCCTTACTAACCCAAAATTTGCAAATCCATGCGTGTGTACACACACACACACATGTATCTATCTATATATATTAATATATAAGTATATAATATATAATATATACATATATATATATCCATGTATATATATACACACACTCATATATATATATATATATATATATATATATATATATATATATATATATATATGTGTGTGTGTGTGTGTGTGTGTGTGTGTTATATATACATATATATATACATATATACATATATATATATAGAGATATAGATATAGATATATATATATATACAGTGTATATATATATATATATATCTATCTATCTATCTATATATATATATATATATAAATATATACATATATATATATATATATATATATATATATATATATATATATATACATACATATGTATGAATATATAATATATATATATATTATATATATATATATATATATATATATATATATATATATATGTATGTATGTATGTATGTATATATGTATATATAATATATATGCATACACACACACACACACATATATATATAT